AAGGTAGCCACTTCCCGCTCCTCCAAAATCATACCTCCCAAATACCTCTGGCTACCAAGGATCCAGAACACAGCTTTTGTAAAAGATAAAAATGCCATTCACTAATTTCTATCCATCGAAAGAATGACTGGTCTTTCGGACTGGCGTGAGAATTCGGCTCAACCACATCAGCTTGAGATACATCTCGCCCGTATTTTCGCCGGCTCTTCTCAGAGAGCCAATTTACGAGCCACGCATAAGTTTGAGCCACTTTGAAGACTAGAAAGGACCCACTGGTCCTACGAGCTCACCATCTCTGGGGTCCCGGGTACAGTCGGACAGATGGAAACTCTGCCTCTCACTCAACGGTCCTTTTAGGGCCAAAAGCCTCCTCGTCGGTTCTACAGAGCCTACCGCTTAGGAGTGCCCTTCTCGCCTCGAAAGGGGTCTTGTGCCGTACAGCTCACGGTCGCGGGCTTCCCGGTAGGGCTGAACAGTTGGGACCTTCCTGGGTACAATACCGGCCCATGTGAGGGCCCGCAAGGTTCAACGGCGACTCGGAAGGACCCCATAGCTGATTCTGGACGTCACTGAATTTACAATTGAATGTGTCAATGTTCATAGTCTACCCTATCTCTCACTGAGTAGGGCGGCAATATCAAAATAGGTATTCCATCAGATCTTCATCTTCACTCCATGAAAAATCTGAATCTAAAATACTCATTTTGAGTTTTAATCACTTCACGACAAAAATCACAAATAGTAGGCAGGTGGATCAGGTTATCCGTAGTTTAAGTTTTATCTCTTAACTCTGAGGGACCGCGGTAGCCGAGTGGTTAGCATGAGAGACTCTCACGCCGCGGTCGTGGGTTCGATTCCCACCGTCCCCTCTAGCCCTTTTTTCACGATAACCCCCAATTTGAACACACAAGAATTCGTACTATGGCTAATATGCAAGATCATAAGGCCAATAAAATAAAAAAAAATCTCTTAACTCTAGAATCACTTTAACTTTCGGTTAACGCTACCTGGCGTAAGATAAACAGCTTAACCATCTGCTAGAGTTAGCTGAGGAGGAACTAACCGACGGATAAATGTGGAACATAAACCGGCCCTAAATTAATTTAAAAAACATTATGTATACAAATAATTTCTTCAAGATGAATTGTCCTATTATTGATTTTTCTGTGTGACTGGTAATTTGTAACCGTTGCAGAATCTTCCTTTCAGCTGGGGGTCCTTTATCACAGGTAAATCAAGGGTCGATTGAACGCCGCCCTCTATATTTTTGCTGAATACCCGGCATCAACTTTCAGGATAATGTATTCTTTCACGAAGACGAGGAAGCTGCTTATTAAGGGACCCGTCTCCCAGTTTTCCAGTCGGCCGGTTAATTAAAACAAAACGCGATCATCAAGCAAATTGTCGAAATCCGATAAGGGGAAATAAAAAGCGTGGTGGGTTTTTCACTCCGCCCCTCCACCCGGGTCATTTCCATTTAACACCCGGCAGTTATTATGGATACTGCAGCCAAGCATACGTGAAAAATAATTGATTTCTCCTATATTTTGTAAAGGCGAGAGTTAAACGCGCGGATAAAACCACATCATAAAGATAAATCATAATTTTTCGTGTATTTGTAAAGGTTTCATTAGGTTGAGATAAATTTCAAGGCTTAATAGTTAAACATCAGCACAGATTTCAAAATGGTAATAAAATAAATGCTAAACTTTGACCTCAAAGGTGTTCCAAAGTACATTTGCATATACCAATCCTTAGAATGACTAAACTATAATCCTCCATTGCATATAGTATTGTAATATTGGAATTCTAGGAAGGAAGTTTAATCTCTTATGAATAGAAGTTTGCATCTTCATTTTATTCAACTCAATATTTCTTTCTTTTTTAGTGAAAAAAGTAGATAAATCGCTAATTCCTAAAAAGTACAAATTGGATTGTTTTTCTAATCATTACCTTTTTTAACTTCACCTAAATGCAATAATAAGTAAAAATCTTTCTGGCAGCATACGAATTCCGCGTCGAAAGGACGACTTTAAAAGGCCCGTATACATGCAATGTTATTGCGCAATAATTGGGTTTGTGCAATAAAGTTGATTTTGTGTAAATGATATTCTAGGGCGGTCCAATATTTAGGTTAAATTTGATATTTCTTATGTAATATTGAAAATATTGTACCGTGTACAATATCGTATTAGTTTCTGACAACTAATTAAATATTTAATCGAGCAATGTTGCAAAAAAATTAATCACAATGAAAACAGTGAAATCATGAATATTTCCTTCACCCCTACGTGGAAAACCCTTCAATCTAATTCAATAATATCCTTCTTTTGTATTTCAAACCAAGACAAGCAACTAACTTAGAACCCCACACACATCTTAAAATACAAGACTTGATAAGACGATATTACTTGCCAAAATATCAAACATGACACTGGCTAACAAACAACTTATTTACACTATAGAAAAACTACTTGGCCTTAGCATTCAGCAAATTTAAATTGGTCAATCAAACATCTTTAGAAAAATCCTAAATGTGTATGAAAATAAAGAATGAAATAAGAAATTTTTATAACGAATCTTTCTCCCAATGAGAACATCTTTGCACTTATCATAGGCCCATTTTAATTTTCAAATTATATCGCAACTACCTTACCTAGAATTATATTACAAGGAACTGACAAAACATATCTTTCAGGTTGTACACATTCAAATTAATTCAAGGGTTTCCATGACAATTGTTCAGTTTCAATGTAAAGAACTTCATCCCTAGAGACAATTGTAACTGAAAATGCAAATAAAATATTACACGTGCAAATTCAAACCTGGCGGTTCTTTATACATATTTGCATAGTCTAAATTCGTCGTTTATTAAATCATTAAAATGATCTCGAAGACAAGTATTTGTCATGAAGAGTTCCATTTCTCAGCTTTGCATTTGTTCAGACCGTTTTATGTGGAAGAATAATTCGTATCCTTAATATATTCACTTATTTGTTGTAACGATAAATTTATTTATATGGTGGTTGTATATTTTCATAAATATATCTGATTTTCCTCGGGGGATACAGGTTTCAATATTAGCTTTGATACATTATATGTAATATTATATGGAAAAGTAGCTTCTCAAAAGGATCCTTTCATCCTTATACATCGCATTTGTTTTGTATAAACACAAATAAAATTTTGAAATTTTCAAAGATTAAAATTTCTTAATATAAACCAATATAGGACGGTTGAATAGACTCCTTATTGAAAATATCTATCGCTAAGTTTTGGTAAAAACTTTAAAGCAAAGAAAAGTCCAATTCGTTAGGAAACACATCTAGAGTAGAACCATTTCCTCACACTTCAACAAGGCTCATTTGAATTCATGGCTATGTTATAACTTATACGGAATGAATAAATAAAACCCTCCACGTGAAGTTCTACTGAAATCTCGGATAACCTGATTCCAAGTATATTCCAGGGGTTTCCGGAAGGAACCACCGCAAGAATATACCACTAATGCCAAAACCAAAATACCTCTGACAGAATAACTTCTTAATTATCCGAAGGTCTCCTTGCAGTGTATTTTTGTTATCGTTCAACTGATTTTCATATAAACTCAAGGTACGTCGCTAAAGAACAATAGCATACATTTGAAATAACATGTTTTTAGTTCGGACAACTATTTATTAATGTAAATTATCTGTGAAAATATTCTATTTAAAAACTTTTTTTTAAGTAGTTAATACCGGCTCGGCTTTTGAAACGGAAAATTCAGAGGATTTTTTCATGCATCTTTTTCACTGATTTCTCTCTCTCCCCCCTCTTTCTCACTCTCTCCATCCTCTCACTCTCTCTCTCTCTCTCTCTCGCTCTCTCTCACTCCTCAGATATCGCCACTCCCACTCCATACTACTCGATGTTCCTCGACGTTGGCTCAAAGCTCCCAGTCACGCTAATAAATAACTTTCAATCACCATACATCGCCTCTAACCGAAGATCGATATAACACGAAACAATTCCAAAAACTCCTATCTCCTAGCCTTGAACAATTTAGAGGTGTTTTTTTTCTGTACTACGAAAATAAATCATGTTTAATTTATTTACTCAGACCTGATTCACGTTAATAAATTGTTCACACTTCAGAAATCATATTCGCATCTCGGCGTACTCCATACTCTCAGGGTGGGTTTAAAACTCCCCATTCGCGCTAATAAATTATTTTCCCTCGCCAAACATCACACTTTCACTTCAGGTACTTAGTACACCTGGAATGATTCCAAGCACTATTCAAGCTAATAATTTACTTTCGCTCTTACAGATCACATTCTAAACCAAGAGTACTAGATATCTACGGGACTGGTTTAAAACCTTCTATTCACGGTAAGAAATTGCTTTCTCTCTCTTTACATTACTCTTAATACTTATGTATTTGAAATCATTCCCTTATTCACGCTAATAACTTACATTTATACCAACAATGAACTCACTGAACATAAATACAAAGTTAAAATCAGCGAAGCCCTCGACCACGCAAAACGCAGGACTCCGTACTTCATCCAGAAGGCTTGAACTTTTGTACATTATAAATTATGCTTAACGCTAAAAAATGGGCACCGACGCAGTATCTTTCTCGCCAGCAAGTGCCCTAGTCTAGTATGACCTACCTGAAGTAGGTTCTTTCTTTTCTCGACCGGCCTCTGCCAACCATGAACCAGTGTTTGTCCGATGAAATTTGGCAGAAATCTGCGTCAGACTTCCTCATTTATCTATGTCGGTGTTCGTATCCAAAATATTGCAGTTTTGGTCAGTCAGAAAATGTCGGCACTTTGCCATCTGAACTGATAGTCAGGGTTATAAGTACGGTGTTAGGCGCCGACAGTTGAAAGCAGCTAAATGCCAACATAAACAACACTAAACAAAAGATCATGTTGGCATTATATTATCCATGAAGTGTGCATTCAAATCTTAATACAACAAATAACACATTTAACACGATAATAATTGTTGGGTTTTGGGATGAAAAGAAAAACACGAGACACACAAGTATCACTATATTGCGTCGTACAAACTTGCTCTACAGGACTAACTAAAAACTGAGGTTACAAAAGGGTTGCAATAATTTACATTTCTAACACCTCCCCTTAAATTATTGTCTTAACAATTAAGTACAATTCAGGATAAAACTTAAACCAATCCCATCATTTTCACAAAATGTACATGTTTCTCTCTATTTAGAGGCTTGGTAAGAATATCAGATAGCATTTGTTCTGTTGGTAAATAATTTAGCTTAATTAATTTGCCTTGGACACTTTCCCTTATAAAATGGTATCTTATGTCAATGTGTTTTGATCTTTGACTGGTTACATTATTTTGGGCTAAATGTATTGCACCCATATTATCACAAAAGACAGTGGTAGGCATAGTCTCATTTGCTAGTTCTTTAAATAAGACTCTAAGCCACATGGCTTCTTGAACTGTACAACTAAGAGCCACATATTCGGCTTCTACAGTACTTAACGCTACTGTTCTTTGTTTTTTGCTAGCCCATGAGATTAAGCCTCCCATATATTTAAAACTACTTCCACTGACAGAGTGTCTATCATTATTTTTGTTGCCCCAATCGGCATCACTAAAACATAACAAGTTAGAATTTTCATTTTTACTAAATTCTAACTTTAGATCACTTGTTCCCTTGAGATATCTAATGACTCTCTTAACTGCCTGCCAATGACACTTGAGTGGGTTGTTATTGAATTGACTCAGACTATTGACAGCAAAAGCAATGTCTGGTCTCGAAATTTGTGAGACATACAGAAGGCTTCCAATAGCTTGTTGGTAGGGCACTGAATCATTGCACTGAGCACTGTTAACATCACTTTTCACTAGTTCTCGTAGGATGATACCTGGTTCCATTGGTGTCAACACGGGGTTAGCCTCTGACATACCAAATTTTTCAATTATCTTCTTGATATATGTAGTCTGATTAATCCACAACTTCCCCAGTTTTCTATCTCGAGTGATGTTCATACCAAGGCAGTCTTTAACTTCACCCAAATTTTTCATAGAGAATTCATTTTCTAATTTTTGAGTCACACATGTCTGTAGGTCGCATTGATTCGAAAAAATTAAGAGGTCATCAACATATATAGCTATTACTATCATACCATCGGGAATGACTTTGAAATAAATACAGGGATCAGCCTTTGATTGCTGTAGTCCCAATCCAGTCATCACAGTGTGAAGTCGTTGGTTCCAACATCTGCCACTCTGTTTAAGGCCGTACATTGCTCTTTTCAGGAGCCACACTTTTCCTTTTGGTTTATTCTTCATTTCTTCAGGTGGAATAACATATATCTCTTTATCTATTTGTCCTTGCAGATATGCGGTTTTGACATCCATGTGGGTGATATTCATGTCTTTCTTTGTTGCAAGAGCGAAGAGAAATCTCAATGAGGGATACTTCACTACAGGAGAAAACGTCTCTTCGTAGTCAATCCCCTGTCTTTGGCTGCAACCTTTCACCACTAGCCTTGCCTTGTATTTTGCTTCTTCTTTGGTTGATTTTTTTAACTTGAACACCCACTTTGTCCTTAACGCTGTTTCGCCCTTCGGCAAGTTTGCCCATTCGAACGTATCATTCTCAGCAAATGAATTTAGTTCTTCTGACATCGCTGCCTCCCATTTGGCTGCTTGTGGGCTCTGCCTTGCTTCCATCACTGTTGAAGGGTCGTCGTTTTCTGAAAGCAAATATACAAAATCTGGATCAAATTTAGGCTTTGGGGTTCTTTTCGTACGTCGCACTTGTTCCTGGTTGATCTCCAATTCTTCCTGTTGTCCCTGGTTATAGTGTTCAATTTCGTGACATTCTTCACTTTGATTGTCCTGGGTAATTTCCTGCTCGTCATCACTGACAATCTCTTCCTCATTGTGAATGTCCGGAGAATGATATATGTCTTTGATATTCTGTAGCTCACTGTTATTTATCATTTTTTCTTCCAGAAATATTACGTCTCTACTAATGGTTACTTTTTTTGTCACAGGATCAATTAATCTATAGCCTTTAGTATTTTGGCAATAGCCGACAAAAATCATTTTTTCTGAGCGGGGGTCCCACTTTCTTCTTCTTTCTTTTGGAACTTGTACCATGGCTTCACACCCAAATATTTTCAAAAACCTTAAGTTAGGCTTTCTTGAGTACCATGCCTCATATGGTGTCTTATTTGACAAAGACTTGGTAGGACTTCTGTTATTTAAATAAACTGCAGTTGAGACTGCTTCAGCCCAATATTCTTTGGGCAGGCCAGCATCTTGAAGCAAGCACCTTGCCTTATCAACTATAGCTCTGTTTGCCCTCTCCGCCAGACCATTTTGCTGTGGAGTGTATCTTACAGTCCTTTGGTGTTTAATTCCCTTTTCTCGAAGAAAGTTTTCCATGTTCCGGTTAATATACTCCATTCCGTTATCCGATCGTAATGTTTTAATTTGAAGATTCATCTCATTCTCTACCAGTGCACAGTATTCTTTAAAAACTTGTGTAACTTCATCTTTGCTTTTCAAAAAATATATCATTGTGTATCTTGAATAATCATCAATAAGGATAAAAAAATATCTGTTGCCTCCTATGGATTTGGTCTCCATTGGGCCGCATAGGTCAGTATGCACTAACTCTAAGGGTTTCTGTGCTCTAAATTTACTTCTCTTGAATGGTAATCTGACATGCTTCCCTTTGATACATACTTCACACGGATCATTTCTTACCATGAGTTTATCAATACCATAGGTCATGTCTTGTAACATAGACATACTTTTTCTGTTTAAGTGTCCTAGACGTCTATGCCATAAGTTGTCTTTTGTTGAGACAACCCAAGCTCGTAGATTAGTTGAGGTATCTAGCTTGTAAATGCCACCCTGTACTGACGCTGTAGCTATAAGATCATTATTTTTATTGTATATTTTCCCTCCACTTTCATCAAATATGACTTTATTGCCCTTACTGGCTATTTTGCTAACAGATAATAGATTAGTGGCTATGTCAGGCGAATAGTGTACCTCATTCGCTGTTATTGGCTCACTGTTACCATTAACTGTCACGTTTATGTCTACACTCCCGACCGAATCCGTAGTAATATGATCGCCGTTCGCCGCGTAAATGTTCACTGCCGATGATTTAGGGTTTCGCAAATCCTTACTTTTTGTCAAATGTACAGACGCACAAGAGTCTAAGAACCACGAAACACAGTCACTATTTAGTCTATTATTTGACTTTAAGCATGCTAAGAAAGCATCTCGGCCTTTCTTTCTTTGATTATTTTCACTTTTTCCGCGAGGATCATGTTTATTTCTGCAATTTGCCGCGAAATGTCCGACCCGGTTACATTTAAAACAACGAAAGTTACGTGTCGCAGGTTTGTTTTGATTCTGGTAGTTTTTCTAGCAGCTGCTAGGAATCGACGACTTTCCGCCGGAAAACAAAGCCGTATCTGCAGGCCGAAATTGGCTGCTGTTTGACTTAACCTCTTGCAATAACTTTATTTTGATTGCATCACCTGTAATCGCAATTCCCGAACTCTCCAATCCCATTATCATTGGTTTGTAATCTTCTGGTAAACCAGCTAGAAGAAGAGTACCAATCCATTCGTCTGTAATGTCGAACTTCACTTCACGTAGGCGTTGGGCCGTAGACATTATTTTATTTACGTACTCTTCCATAGAATTGCTGTCTTCCAATTTTGTTAAGATCAATTGCCGTAACAATCCAACTTTTCTTGTTAGTCCGGTGTCTTCAAATAATGTTTGAATTGTGTCCCAAGCTTGCTTGGCGGTGGAACACTTCTCGATATGGTGGATGAGATCCTTCTCGACTAGTAATGAGATTTTCGACAAAGCCTTTCTATCTTGATTTTGCGCTTCTTCCAATTTTACCTTTCCATCTACAACATCCCATTGGTCTTCCAATCTCAGTAGAGCCTTCATATGGAACTTCCAGGAGGAGTAATTCTCTCTACCTTTGAGCTTTTCAACGAACGTTAAGCTCGACGCCATGTTTTTGAATTTCTAAAAAAAACTTCGAATCGGTCGAAATATATAACTTACGCGTCACGAACCGATAATCCTTATTAGCCACGTTAATCTGGGCCCATAACCAAATGTTGGGTTTTGGGATGAAAAGAAAAACACGAGACACACAAGTATCACTATATTGCGTCGTACAAACTTGCTCTACAGGACTAACTAAAAACTGAGGTTACAAAAGGGTTGCAATAATTTACATTTCTAACAATAATGTTTCATAAATGCCCTGATTTTCAAAGCTTAGACTTTAAGGTCATTGTTTTTAATCAAATTGTGAGATTCTCCGTTCCCACTATCCTTGCGGTGCTAGTCCAGCTGGAACTTGGGTTTCTTGCTATTTTCAGAGTTTGTCAGGGTCACAATGAGGGTGAGGCTCCACTGATATTTTAGGCAGCAGTTTTTTTTAGTATTTTTGTCTTTTCAGTCATCCTAGTCCCCGTTTCATTACCATTTGGGTCGGTCAGATGAGTTTCGCTTTTGGCCATCTTCACGGGTTGTAAGGGTTATGGGTGCGACGCCGAAGGTTCGAAACCGTAGAGAAAGGCAAACCGTGATATAGGCCAAACAAAATTTCATATGGGCATTATATGATCAATGAAGTGTTGATAATCAAATTGAGAGATTTCTCGTTTTTCAGTATTTTTGATGTTTCTGACGATCTGACAGTTTTCAGTTTCATTCCATGTTTAGGTGTTGTCAGGATTATATGTAGGGTGAGGTCCCAACTCATTCACTTTATTTAAAAAGCTAAATTACATTAATTGAGTAAATGACTGTTTTATGATAATGAAATCACAGGCTTTGTCCATAATTATACATTTCTCGACGTCATTTCGGTTCATAACTAACCAAAAGGAAAGAAAAAGAACTAACTAAATTGTTTTCAGATTCATTCCATGTTTAGTGGTTGTCCGGGTTATAAGTAGGGTGAGGCCCCAACTCATTCACTTTATTTAAAAAGCTAAATTACAATAATTGAGTAAATGACTGTTTTATGATAATGAAATCACAAACTTTGTCCATAATTATACATTTTTCTTACGTCTTCTTTGTGATGGACGAAAATTTAATAAAGCAATAAACAATTCTGGTAAAAGAATAATTAAATCTTATAACTTAAATAACTAAATCTTCCTAAAGGACAGAAGAAAGGGATTTTAGTTAACTGTAACTCTTTCTTATGGAAAGCAAAGTCAAACATTGGAGTTTATTGCATTGGCAACATCATTATATTAAAAAGTAAACGAAGAAGTGATATTGTCAAGTCACTGGAGGACATAGGATTTTATGTAAACATTGTTTCAAAATGAAGCCGCCTGTTTATGAAAGATCGATACACATTGGCCGTTTCTAGGGCATATACTTTTATAGGGTCCTCTATTGCGACGCGGGAGGCTGATTTATAAGGACGCCGCGACAACCGCCTTGCGAAATAGTCAATTTGCCAAACCGCCACACTCCGAGTCTGTAAATTAGCCCGTAAGTTGTTTTCCGCGCGGTTATCTCTCTAAAAAGCCCTGGTAACGCGTGTGAAACATATGGAGAGATAACGGGGACGCAGCGAGATAGGGCGGCCCCCTTGGACGATGAAACGTGCCCCGGGGAAAGTCCGGAGTCGAGATAAAAGAATTTCATTAGTCCGGCCCAATTTACTATCGTTTTTGTTGTCCCGCTGTTTGCAAACTTTCCGGTCCACTTCGTCAAAAGCCAATATTTATTTTCGCTCAATCCAAGGACAATTGTTTACCGAGGTGGTTTGTATATTTGTGCTTTTTCTGGTCTCAAAAGCCTTATACTCTTACAACTTACATGTTACTTGATTCCATTTTGTATGTATTTTATTGTAGCATTTCACAAATATTCATTATATATTTTACTTTCATCAATACTTCTTTTTGAATTAATGTGTGATGTTTATTGACCGTTACTCAATGATTATTCGGAAATCGTGAGATGCGGTCTGGTGTGACGTAGGTATGAGAAAAATATTTTCTTTATCGTGCCAACGTTTCTATCTTTATTGAGATCATCTTCAGGGCCTGGGGTTTATAAACATTGTTTAAATTGTACAAATACATGTAGGATGTGGAAAAAAACTTATACAATGCTAAAAAATTTTAGATTAAAAAAATGAAATTATACAATGCTAAAAAATTTTAGATTAATCTAAAATTTTCTAGCATTGTATAATTTTTTTTTAATCTATAATTTTCTAGCATTGTATAAATTCATTTTTTTTACATCCTACATTATTTGTAAAATTTAAACAATGTTTATAAATCCCAGGCCCTGAAGATGATCTCAATAAAGATTGAAACGTTGGCACGATGAAGAAAATGTTTTTCTAAAACCTACGTCACACCAGACCGCATCTCACGGCCTCCGAATAATTTTTAAATTAAGTTATGATCGAAAAATTCAGAGTTTTGAACTTCTTTGGCACTTTTCTTCAATTAATTAACGAGGAGGAGGGCTCATCAACACCATAAGAAACATCCCACTATGAGGCTAGTCATAAAACCACTATCGGCCCTCAAAATTTCCGTTCAAACTTCCGTGACGAACGAAAAATATGGAAAATTGAATTAATTGAAAAATTATAGATTATGTAAAAATCATGTCTCAAAAAATTATCTCCACTTGTAACAATGATTAACATAACGAACTGAGGAACAATGCAAAGATATTTTCTTAAAAAAAAAACGATTTAATCCATCTAACACGTCAAAACAAAAATCAGAAACACACAAACAACTGAACATACCGAAGTGCAGAAACGTGACTGACAAAGCCACACAGCGAGGATATACGGACCAAATTGATAGCATAGAAACCTAGAAACTTATCCAGTTCCAATTGATAAAACGATTTAAATTCTGAGGTTTTTTTAAGACTGCAGGGTGATGAACCTTTAATTCTTTTCTGGTCATCCTAGTCTGCTTATCTTTGTTGTTCTCTGTCAGGCGGCTTTTGGTTCTTCGCCATCTTAAGTGCTGAGCTTTTGTGGGTATTTCACTCTGCTTATACCCTGATACTTAGAGAATACAACGCAATTGCCTAAACGCGTCTGTCATACCAAAAATAGAAGGATATGTAGACAAAATAAACGCCCAAGCTTACTAAAAGTACTTACTAAAAGTACCAACTACTTTACTAAAAGTATAACTTTGTATGCATATAATCTCATTTAATACAATCCGGCATTTTATTATCATATTTTCACTGTTTGTCAGGACCATATGTAGGTCAAGGCACTGAAATAAACATATTTGAAAGCAGTTGGATAGCCAGATCAGATGATCGGAAACTACTGGTTAATCATCCAGTAAATCTAAAAAATCTCACAACTTTAAAACATTGTTATATTCAGTTTAAATAATCAGATAAATAATTTTTGTTGACTTTAAGCTCAGTTATTTTATTGGGTTATTTATATAGACATACTAAAATTTTAATGAATTTCGAGGTAGCAAATAAATATTTACAGTTCGGTGTTTTACAGTCATCCTGGTCTCTTTTCTAAATAAGTTTCGGTCTGTTAGAGCGTTTCGGCATTTTGCTCTCTGCACTGATACGCAGGGATGTAAGTAGGGCGAAGCGCCGACAGTTAAAAGCAGAATGGTAAGTTAGACCAGGACTATCGATAGAAACGAAACTTAAGTTCATGTTGACATTATATTATAAATGAAGTGCACAATCATATCTTATCACAAATAACACATTTAACACGATAATACTGTTGTGTAAGTGCCCT